CTCCACGCGCTGCTACTCACTGGCAGGGGCGTCTACGCTCTACCACGCACCCTCACGCGCCTGATCCACTTTCGGCGCCTGTGTGGCTGCTACTGATTGGTTACCCTCTACGTTTTGGTGCACTCGCCCACACCAGATAAATCTTTTATTGACCAAACCTCATCTACGGCCTAGATGCATGCGCACATCAAATCTTTATGCACCGCGAAGCACTAGATTATCCGTCCTTCATCATCGCATCTAAGCCGCTAAATCCGTGTGTGCACCGAAATACAATGTGCCGCACTGCACTGGATTACCCCTTTAATCATCAAACCCATCCAACCCCTTGTAATGCGCGCGCACCACATTGATGTGTGCCGCGCTGCACCGAATCCTACCTTATTTTGAGTGCGCCGATTACTCAACCCTACAGTGGCGTTCATATATACATTATATATATTATATTTATACACATAAATAATTGTATATAAAATTCTAAAAATATCAAAAAAAAAATATATAAAACAAACCCAGAAAAATTCCAGAAATCATAATTAACCCTCTTGGGTCATACATCAAACCTATAACTTGATTTTAGATATATACAACACCTATATACAAAATTAAAATTTGATAAATCCGTAAATCAAATATAATAATTTATGTATTTAATTATTCCGATCTAACCATGATTTAATTAATAAATTTAGTCTAAAATTATGATATTCAAGGTGATAAACTTATGGGTCCTAAGAGGAGAGTTAGAAAAGAACTTGCCTGAAGATTTTGAAACGAAACCGACGCTTCAATCTTTGATTGTCTCTTCCAACTCCGGCACCCTCATTCTCAAATCCAGCCTCCTCCTTGTCAGCTCTTCTTCTTTCTCTCTGTCTCTCTTATTTTCTAACGTGTAAACTTTTAACCCTAAAGCCTTATGTGTATATTTATACACATTAAAAATTCAAATCCTATTCCAACTAGGATTCTCAAATAAAATAATAATTTTTAAATAATTTATCTATATATATATATATATATATATATATATATATATATATGTCCTTCCATAACACGTATTAAATATATAATTAAATATATACTTGTAATTATATAATAAAAAAAGTAATTATTAAAATAATCACTAAACCATGGGCCTTTATTGATTAACCCAACAAGGTTTCATCCAAACCCAAGACCATATCCATTAGTTCTACTCCTCTTAAACCCAAACCCATTAACTTCAATAAATAAAAAAATTCAATTAAATCTAATAATTATAATTAATTCACACTAGCATAAAAATTACACATAGTCAAATAAGCAACTTAAAAACAACATAATCATGACATTCTCATAAAGGAAACCAACACACCAATTCATCAAATATAGTTACAAAACATAATTTAATAAAAATAAGACAATTAATCATAACACTTAATTAAATAAAACAAATCATTTAAAAATAAAAATAATTAATTCTAATTAAATCAAACAAATTATTTAAAATAAAATAAAAGTAATTAATCCTAATTAATAAATTATTTAAAATATCGGGGTATTACAAGCCAGGCAAAGTAAACTCTATCAGGAAGAATTGCAAAAGATAAAAAAAAATAATAATAATAAAAAAAAATGTCAATGCCCCATTCATGTGCCTACTGTACCTAGCCTTAGTTTTACACTTCAAGTCACATCTTTCTTCTCCTTTCACCCATCACATTTCTCATCTCTCTAGTTCTCATAGTTTCCATTTACTCTCCTCTCTGGTTCTCATAGTTTCCATTTATAGTTGGGTGTTAACTTATTATTGGGTCATAACACGACTTGTTGTTCACTTTTTTTTATCTTTTTTATATTATTATTAATTCTTTAGGTAAAGTACAATCACACCCCTGTATTTATCTTTTATAAATTTTTTTTTTACGTAATATAAGAGTATTAAAAAGTAATGAGATATTTAGTTATTAGTGCTTTGATTAATTAGATTTTATGAAGTGGTAGTTAAATTTTTAAAACCGTCATGCACTCAATCCCTACCTCATGAACTAATTGCTTCTAGTTGCAAAAATTTGCTAACTTTGAAAAGTTATGATTGCTACACACTTAATGAAAACAATAAATATAAAAGAATAAGTATCTTTATTGGATGTCTAAGCCTCTATTTAGTATATCTTTATTGGAGATCTAAGCCTCTTTTTATAAAGAAGAATTAGGGTAGTTGGATTGTTTGCCCCCCTCCCCCACTATCCTTCCAAAGTTGATGGTTTCCTTCTACACTTCTTCCATATAAAAAATTTACTGTAATTACAACTCTGGTCGTTGTTGAATTATGTAAATTGGGCTTTCTTCTTCGTGGATCATCACTTGGGCGAAAGACTGATTATTGGGCTAGTAGACTCATCTGGCTGGCTGAGAGATGGTGTCTTCCCTTGTTTTGGGCATCGAATTTGTGGATTTGGGATGATTTCCAAAATGAGTAATCATGTGTGGAGCAAAAAAAGGTGACCTAAATGTACGAATTATGAAACTTAGGTTTTCATGGGTATTTACACGTAATACTTTGGCCTAATGCTTCAAAACAAAAATATAATTATGCATGGTGTCGCAGTAAGGTAGCTTGGTGGGCCATGAGTTTAGCCACAAGGCCTCATAATCCAACTCATGTGAAGTGTCTTTTGATAGTTTGTAAAGATTATGTAGATTTTCTTTGAAAGTAGAGCAATCCCACTTTTCAAAAAACTCAGTGAATTTCTGGGGAACTTTGGTGTCATCTCTTTATCACCTCCCCACCTCCCCTCCGATCCTTCAACTTCTCTTCCAATTTTGCTCTCGTTTTCTATTCTCTGTTTATCAGAATTGTCTTTTCCTCACCCCGTTGAGGTTTTTTGTTTCATCAGAGTTTGGATTTCTTTCCAATTGGGTGTTTAGGGGGATGGTTGTCCTTACCCATCCCAGACGCAGCTTATCTTCGTTGTTTGGATGGATTGGCTCTTGTGTGTTCATGCTCGTTTCATGGCTAATTTGGATCGGTGCTATACCTGCTAACCTATGTTTGCCGATTTTTTCGTTTGATCCATGTATTTCTACAGTTTTTCTTGGTTCTTTTCTTAATCTAATGTTATATGTCTGTTGTGTTGTGTGTGTTTTTTGTTTTTTTTTTCTTCTTTTGCTATCCAAGAGGACCGAATAGGATCACTGGCCGATTTGCTCTTTTGTTCATCAAGCTCTCCGGATTCGGTTCACTGTGCCTATCAATGTTTTGGGATACTGTTTAGGCAGGTTGACATGACATCATCTCTGGTGTTGCTTACATTGCATGACTGGCGTATCCTCTACGCTTTCGTTTTGGTCCACATACTCCTGGAAGGTTCTAGTATGGGTTTGCTGGGCTTCTGGCCTTTGGGCTTTATGGTTTCCACTATTGGCATAGTCTTGAATTTTCTGTCCATTCCAATAGTGGGCTTGGGCCATGGTGCATATTTTCACCCACTGCCTGATTGGGTTGACTCTATTGAGCCCAAGTCTTTGGTGAGTTATGTCCCGTTTTCGTAGCCTGCACTGAATCAAGTTTGGCAACAACTTTGGCTGGGGTTGGTGCCAGGTCATGTGGATATTGGTGGTATGATGCACAACTTGGCTAGAGGTGACGGCCATGTTTGTGGAGCTCTTGCGTGTTTTTCTCTTGTGGTCATATCTTGGCTCCCTCTCGATCTGTTTTCCATCAACGTTTGTCGACCAAGTTCTTTCTGGGAGGTTGTGTAAGGCGGTGCATCTTTCTTTCTTTTGTGGTGCTAGTACTCCCAATGTAACTGACACATTTTCCTGGTTTGTCAAGATTGTGATCTTGACTATAAGGGGTGTTAGTTTTGTTATTGCTAGCTTTTGTTATTTGTTGTTCTATATGGTTCTTGCATGGGTGCTATAGCTTGCTCCTTGCCTGTAGATGTTGTATGGTAGCGATTTTCTTGCCAGGGTAATATATATATATATATATATATATATATATATATATATATCTTTACTGGAGAGAGAGAGAGAGAGACTAAGAGAGAGGGGAATGTAAGTCAAATTAATGGGAGCGTTTAAGTACTTTTTTTTGTAATTGCAAAGGACTCTATCATTTGGTGTTTGTTTAGGGTTGCAAATGAACTAAGTTGTTCATAAAGAGCTCGGGTTTGGCTCAACTTTGGCTTGTTCATTAAACAAATGAGCCGAGGTCAAGTTAGATTTCTAAGCTCGTTTAGTAAATGAGTCGATCTCGAGCACTGCTAGACTCGTCTTGTGTAGGCTTGTGAACATGAGCTCATGTAGACTCATTTATGTTCCTGAACATGAGCTCGTGTAATTTCGTTTATGTTCGTTAACTATAAGCTCATTATAGGGCTTGTTTACATTTATTTCTATTTTTTAATGAAATTTTTTAATTTTAAAAATATACAATAAACAAACGGGCCAAACTTTTTAACACCATAACGAGCCCGAGTTCGAGCTCAATTTTTTGACTCGGCACGAGCCCAAGCCGAACTATAAACAAATGGGTCTGAGCCTGAATAACCTATGACTCAACTCAGCTCGGTTCATTTGCGTCCTTACTTAAATGTTCATTTTATATTGTTATTTTATGAAGAGAATTTTTTTTTTTTTTTTTTTGCTTTTTTCACCTGGTAGGTAAGGAGGGCAATGGAGAAAAGGGTCAAAACCTGGCTCCCTAACCATAGATGAATCATAAATGCAATGCATTGGTATTTTTTACACGGCTGGCAACTGCTCTCATTTTATTTTGAATTTTCTTTCGGTCTTTACGCGTTTCTACGACCTCTCTCTTTTTCTCAGAAGAGAGAAATTAATTTCAACAAAGTCTTTTAAGTCCCCACTCAACCTATACATATTTATACCAATTTTTTATTGTAGTCAAGCATATATATATATATATATATATATATATATAGCTGGTCCGTCCTCTTGTTAATAAACTTTTATTTTGACTTTTCTTCAGTCTTTACGCGGTTCTACGGCCTCTCTTTTTCTCAGCAGAGAGAAATTCATTTCCTTGCTATTGCATTCCGCTAACTCTTCGTCACTTCAACAACTATGAATCTGAAACCATATATGTGTGTTCAGATTATACATGTATATATATTTATGATAGTATATATATGTCACATATGTGGAGTAGCAGTTAGCTAACTTATCTTATATGTGTATCTAGAGAGAGTGAGAGAATGGAGCAGAGACTTTATGAAGCAGCAGTGGAAGGGAACATAACATCATTGCATGAATTACTTCAAGAAGATCGACTAGTTCTCGACCGAGTCGTTCTGACTTGTTTTAACGAAACTCCTTTGCATGTTGCAGCGTTGCGCGGCCATGTAGATTTTGTGAAAGAAATTCTAGCTCGAAATTCCGAGCTTGCCGGAGAATTAGATACGCGACGATTGTCCCCTCTTCACTTAGCATCGGCTAAAGGGCACGTTGAGATAGTAAAAGCACTCTTGTTGGTTAATGGTGAGATGTGTGTTGCTCATGATCGAGATGGCAGAAACCCCCTTTATCTCGCAGCCATCAAAGGCCGAGTCAGTGTCTTGAAAGAGTTGGTTCGAGTCAGACCAGACGCTGCTCGAGCAAAATTCGATCAGGGTGCAACCTGCATACTGCATGTGTGTGTGCATCATGATCAATTAGAGGCACTAAAGCTATTGCTGGTGACTTTGAATGATCACGAATTTGCTAATTGTAAGAACGAGCATGGCAACACCATATTACATCTAGCCGTCGCGGATAAACAAATTGAGGTATGGCCATAATAATTAAGTTTCTAAGTAATTATTTAGTATTCCTATTGAGTGCATGTAGCCTACACCTATTGTCATTTCATTATTACTGTATCATATTTCCTCATTAATTTATGACCCTAACAATAATAGCATAGGACAACATCATGGGATGTGAGATATAACTTTGTATTAATTGGCAACTAATTGATGTATGCAGACCATAAAGTATTTGCTTTCGAGTGTCAGAATGGATGTAAATGCGATTAATGCAAATGGGTTCACAGCATTAGACGTTTTAGAACAAAGTCAGAGAGATGCGAAGGATTTGGACATTGCAAAGTCCCTTCAAGAAGCTGGAGCCTTGAGAGCCAAAGATCTAGCTTTAGCAGCTGGTAACGAAAATCGAACCATTAGGCCTAATGGTACGCCCTTGTTTGTACATGATCAAAGAAATGTTCCGAAAAGCATTGTTCCACATCAAGGCGAATGGCTGGAGAAGAAGCGCAACGCATTAATTGTGGTGGCATCACTTATTGCAACAATGGCTTTCCAAGCTGGGGTGAGCCCTCCAGGCGGTGCTTGGCAAGACAATTACAATAGCACTGATACAAATCAGACAGTTCCACACAGAGCAGGGGAAGCTATAATGGCATATAACTATCCAGATTCATATCCAATTTTTCTTCGTGCTAACACGATAGGTTTTGTTGCATCTCTGAGCACAATCTTGTTGCTTATAAGCGGATTGCACTTCAAGCGGCCGAAGATTTATATTTGGACTTTGATGGTGACCATGTGGTTGACAGTGACAGCAATGGCAGTAACTTATGTTATGGCAATTGTGGTTGTCACACCAAGAGGGCTAAGACCACCACTCACTGATGTAATTATAGTTGCAGTCATAGTATGGGGTGTCTTGATGGCATTGCTTCTGCTAGGGAACACAATTCGTTTGTTAGGAAGGGCTCGTTTGAACAGACTTGGAAGATTTATGTGGCAGCAAAGAAAAAGTTTTCATTCAGCTTATTTAAACAGCAATGGCGACCGAGAAGCTCTCCCAATTCAGTTATAGACCGATGGCAGTATGGCACATTAGTGTTCGGCCTCTGTTTTTGTCTAGTATATGAATTTTGTCCATGTAGGGAAGGGTTTTTTCAGTTATTATTGTTTTAAGGGGGGAAATGATATACTATATATTAATGATTGAATAATCTGATCAAAGACAACAATTGAGCATAACGAAATTTTATCGACGTTATACAATATCAATTTTTCCGACTCAGCTGATAGATAGTCTCTATTTTCGTGACCAGTGAATGAGTTGTGCTTAACCCAATAGATCATGTTCACTCTGCTGCACTAGTGCAATACACTAGTAACACAGTACAGAATACAATTATATCATAAAATGCAATTTCCATACAACAATTTTTAAAAAGTTACTATTCAACACAACACATCTGTATCGAAATATAACACATAAATTAACAACAATTTTTAAAAAGGTTTTTTCAGCGAATGAGTTATACTTAAGACAATAATAATTGGAAAAATAATAATAAATAAATCAACAGGCCAGTGGTCTAGCGGTATCAACCTCTTACTTTTCAAAGGGAGGTCAAGGATTCAAGTCTCAAAAAATAAGTGTGTACGAATACTAACTAGGAAAAAAAAAAAAAAAAAAATTATTAACTGAAAAAAAGTTAATCAACACCTCTCTTTTCAGACGGTGCTGCCATAGAAAATAAATTTTCAGACGGTTGGGCCTGTATGTTGTTCGTCTTTGTCTTTGGGCCTGTATGGCTAAGGCCTGCTTTTGTATCCTCAACTAAAGCTGAAGCCATGTACATACTTTTTATTTATACAACTTGCCTAACATTCTAAAATAATAAAATAAAATAAAAAGTTATTAATGAAAATTATCTGCTCTATTTAAAAGATAAAAATCATACTTAACGGTTTGAGTATAAATAGCTTAGTACGTTTAAGTACATAAAAATAAAACTTTGGAAAAATATAACAATGTTGCAATATTAGCATGGCATACAACTATTGTTGCATCGTTATTCCACATTTCATTGATTTTTTTTTTTAGATAAATAACATTTCATTGATTTTTTATAAAGAAAATGGCACAGTTATCTCTCAAGAATAATGTTTAAGAAATTTTTTTGAGGCATTTATATGGTGCGGAACTGCGGACAATTATGTTATTTGTTTCACTCTCAAAACAACTGGAGTACAAGTGTAATTTTTTTATGTGTCCATAAAATTAATAATATTGGTATTTTAGAGGAAAATGTGATAAAATATATTAACAAACTAGTGTATTTCAAATTTTCCATGGCATAATATACTTGTTATTTAACAATATGAAGCATTAACGGTGAGGATTTTTTTTTTATACATATCTATAGTTTTTTTTTCTGAACATTTTTCATATTTTAAAAATTAAAAAATAAGGTTTTAAATACAATTTTTATGTTATTAATTCAAGGAGATAGATAGCCCAAAAGTTTCAAGAGTTACATTATTTCATTGCATGAGTTACATCTACTGGAATACCTACTTTAAAATTTTATTTATTTATTTATTTTATTATTATTTTTTTTTATCACTAAAATCACCCTATATGTGAAAGTAAAAACTTTCTTTCATTTTGTTTATTCAGCAAAATCACGTGTATGTGAAAGTATAACAAAATGCGAAATAACATTTACAAAATAAAAATACAGTTTGAACTTTGAACTTTGTTTTATCAATTCCAGCTTAGTCTTTCTTAAAGTTTTAAATAAATTTCTTTCACTTTATTTCTTCAGTAAAATCAAGCGTATGTGCAGTGTTTGTGCATCTCTATAAAATCTATACTTATTTTGCGTAGATATTTAGTTTTTGGATGTCGTTACTATATGTATTAGCAAAATACAAAAATATTTACAAACTAAATTCAGTTAAAGAATTTCTCTCAAAGTTTCAAAAAAAAATCTTTGATTTTGTATCTTCAGCAAAATTGATTTCTCACTCCCTCCATATAACCTTATTTTAACCCTTGAGTAGTACGAATAAAAGTCAAGCAAAAAGAAAATTTTATTTCATTTTGTTTCTTCAGCAAAATTATGTGTATGAGAGAGAGAGTATAACAAAATTATACTATGCGAAACAACAAAAATTGCAGTTTGAACTCGGTTTTGTTAATTAGAGTTGAGTTTTATATTTTGCGTACGTGTGTCAGTGTGATTACTATATGTATTAGCAAAATGCAAAAAAAAAATTACAAACTAAATCTAGTTAGAGTATCTTTAAGAGATTTAAAAAAAAAAAAATGTTCAATTTATTTCTTCAGCAACCTTATTTTAAGCCTGAGGAGTACGAATAAAAGCTGAGCAAAATGAAAATATTATTTCATTTTGTCTTTTCAGCAAAATCTAGTGCATGTGAGAGTATAATAAAATGTGAAATAACATTTACAAACTAAAATTACAATTTGAACTTTGTTTTATCAAATTCCAGTTGAGTTTCTTTCAAAGTTTTTTAAAAAATTCTTTCGTTTTGTTTCTTTAGTAAAATCAGGCGTCTTTGCAGTGTTTGTGCGTCTCTATAAAATCTACACATGTTTTGTATTCTAGTTTAGTTTGTTGGTCTTATTATTATAAGTAGTAGCAAAATGACAAAAATATTTACAAAATAAATCCAGTTAAGAATTCCCCTCAAATTTTCCAAAAAGAAAAAAAATATTTGATTTTGTTTCTTTAACAAAATTGTTTTCTCACTCCCTTTGTATAACCTTATTTTAAGTCTGAAGGGTACGAATCAAAGCCAAGCAAAATGATTTTTTTTTTTTTCATTTTGTTTTTCAGCAAAATTAAGTGCCTGCACTCTGTTGTTTTTTAAAGAAATTCTCTTTCTTTCTTCACTAAAATCACCCTATATGCACTGTTGTACGTCTCTATAAAATATAGACATATTTTGTGTAGTTTGTCGGTGTGATTACTATATGTATTAGTAAAATGCGAAATATATTTACAAACTAAATCAGTTATAGTTTTCCTCAAAGTTTTTTTTCTTCATTTTGTTTCTTCAGCAAAATTACTTTCTCACTCCCTCTGGCACAATCACGTACAAAACAAAATGCTAAAGAACATGTACAAACTAAAATTACAGTTTGAACTCTGTTTTGTCAATTCTAGTTGAGTTTCTCTCAAAAAAATTAAAAAAATTCTTTCATTTAGTTAATTTCTTCAGTAGAATGAGGTGTTTGTGCGCTTCTATAAAATCTACATGTATTAGCAAAATGTCAAAAATATTTAAATGTTTAATCTTTCTCTCAAAGTTGCGAAATAATTTCATTCATTTTGTTTCTTAGCAAAATTGATTTCTCACGTTTAACCATATTTTAATCCGGTTAGAGTTTCTCTCAAAGTATCAAAATAATTTCTTTCGTTTTGTTTCTTAGCAAAAATTGCTTTCTCACTCGTGTAACTTTATTTTAACCTTGAGGAGTACAAATTAGAGCCAAGAAAAACTAAATTCATTTCACTGAAATCTCTCTGCATTTTCTTCAAAAAAACAATAATTTTTTTTTTTTTTTAGATAAAAATTCTTAACACAGCTTTTTAATTTAATGTATTTTTTAAAATACTCTAAAAATACGAGCTCGAACCCTTACCTCCCATTTGAGGGAGGAAGGCGGGGTGGTTATTTAGAAAATAATTATTTGTATTTTTTTGTTTTTTAAAATACTAGATTATTCATTTTTTGTTTTAAAGGTAGATTTTTTATTTATTGTTATTTAACTCAGTGAGCGAGCCTCGGATTGCGACCAAAAAATTGTAATGAATCGCCACCCCACCGAGGTACACATCCCGAGTTTGCTCAAGTACATAAAAATCAACTATATAACTTTATAAAAATATCATAATCTCTAATATTAACATGACATACAACTACTCTTGCACCGCACAAAAGTATTCCACATTTTACTGATTTGTTATACAGAAAATAACATATTTATCTCTCAAAAATAATGTTTAATAAAAAATTTTGAGGCATTTGTATGGTGTGGACAATTACGTTATTTTGTTCACTCTAAAACAATTAAAGTACAAGAGTAATTTTTTTGTGTGTCCATAAAATTAATAACATTGGTATTTTAGAGAAACATGTGATAAATGTATTAATAAACTAGTGTAATTCCATTGCATAATATACTTGTTATTTAACAATATGAAACATTAACGGTGATTTTTATTTATTTTTACTTAATCTATAGTTTTTTTCTCTAAATATTTTTAGCATTTTTTAAAATACAAAAATATGGGTTTAAATAAAAAAATTATGCTTTTAATTCAAAAAGTTGTATAGTCCAAAAATTTTAAGAGTTATATTATTTCATTATATGATTTATATTTCTTGGAATAACCTACGTTAAATATATATATGTGTGTGTATGTACTTTATATATGTATAGATATATAATATAACTATGTAAATGTGCATAAATTTTATTTTTTACATTTTAGATTTTTTTATATATAATTATGCTTTTTAACATGATTTTTAATATAAAAAGTTTAATAATCCAACAGTTTCATTGAGATAAATTTATATCTATCTATTTATCCATATACATATATATTATTTTTTTATATAGTGTTTAAATATTAATATAGTTAGAGTAATTATACCTATCTATTTGTCTATTCATATTTGGTAAAATTATTCAATATTATGCCTCATATTTTTGTCATTTTGATATATATACTTATGAAATATAACCTTTTATCTCCTGAAATTATTAAAGATTTTGGTATTGCCCCACATAAATTTCTGGGTCACTTGTACAAAATACAAAAATATGGATTTCTTGTGTAATTTGGTTAAACAAGGTGGAGTAAAAATTAATGCTTCCACAGAGCCACATAATAGCAAGTGAGTTTGAAGAGTTTGTTGGTTGGAATTGGTATGGTTTGAACATCTTCATGGTGTTTGTCATCAAAAGACACCACACTGTAACTGCTTCTACAATTACACGAGCAAGTTGTGGTTCTCTGTTTTTTTTTTTATGTGATCATGGCAGAAATAGATAATGATCCTTCAAGTGAACCAAACAGCGGAAACGCAAACTGTGGGCTGGGCTGTTCATAGAGCTTGTGTTTCAACTAAAAAATACAATAAAGAGAGACAAAATAGAGAAAGGAAAGGAAAAAATAAAAAATAATAATAATAATAAAATATTTTAATAATTTGAATTCCATAATTCATATTCGATGTGCT